CTAATAGCTTGTGGCAACTACTGGTATAATATAGAACTAATAGCTTGTGTCAACTACTGGTATCATATGGAACTAATAGCTTGTGGAAAGTACTGTTATAATATGGAAGTAATAGCTTGTGATAACTACTGGTATAATACGAAACGAACACCTTATAACAACCTTCAGTTAGTTTATCGCCACAAAGAGGGATAATAACTCCACCCAGGAATGGAATCCTTTTTTTTTCTTTATTCAGTTTTGCTCCAGTTCTTATTAAAGAATCGTTGATTATAATAATAATTCTATACAACAAAAAATAAGTTTTACGATAAAGATGACCTTTATATAAATACACAGATACATATCTTTATCGGTGTAAGAAACTATGTCATGGTTCTATTAATGTGGACCTAACCTGTCTGGAATGTGACAGCTTTTTTTTCTTCTTTAAATATATATATTCTCCTCTAGATTAGTTGATTCGTGATGTATATGTAACAGTTACTAATCATTATATTATCACGTACTAACAGTTCGACTCAACCAGAAACTATGCTAAACCACCTCATAACACTTTCCCAAACTAATTGACTAATAGTTACAAATTCAAGCAACTCACAAACCACAATCTTAGGAATTTAATTATCAAACCGAATTACTGGTGCATAACAAGTACCGTGGTCACTTCAAAAAGGCTAGTGTTTTGTGCCTTATACAACTAAATGGGTAAACAGCTAGGTCAGAAATCCCTGAGGTTCAAACATCCCGTATTTGGAACTGCTGACCACAGGAAGGAAAGCTAACAGCACCCGCCGCATAAGTGGTTACTCCTAATTAATAAAATAAGATCCAGTGTCTGTGTGTGTGTCACGTAACTTCTCCTAAATCAATGGACTTGGCAACTCCTAACAGTATGAAATGCTTGGTTTAACACAAAGGAAAGAATACCTACTCCAAGGATTAAGATATAACAAACTTCACAAAAGTGTTATAATTACTAAAACAATGAAACAGCGGGAGTGTTACGTGAACGTCACGTGATAAATATTGTTGAAACTGCTATTAAAATATGTGAAAACTATGCTGTACAAATTTATTTTTACGAATTGAAAAACGATCTTCTAATTACTTTACAACCCATTAAAATAACCGTTTAAATTTATTTAGGATTCACAATTGATTCATGGTGTATAATAACGGGGTGTTGATACACACTGTGTAATAATGGGATGTTCATACACGGTGTATAATAACAGGTTGTTGAACACTGTGTGTTTCATGGTGT